CCACACACGATGAGGTTGAATCAGAATTTTAGTCCCTTGTGATTTTTTTCCAAGTTTATTTTATTGTAGTAAGATCATTTAACAAGAGGTATGCACTTGTAACAGGTTTGTAAGTATGTGAGACAATAATGCTGTCTGTAGCTATACATGCTTAACAGCTCCACAAAACTAACTCGTCCTGCATCTGAAAGTTTTTAACTTTGTTTTGGTGGTGATAGTGATGGTGGTCTGTGCATGTGTGTGCGCGGGTGCACATGTGTGAGTGTGCAGAGACCAGAGGTACATATCAAGTGTCTTTCTAGGCTGCTCTCCACCTTATTCTTTGAGACAGAGTCTCTCACTGAACCTAGAACCCATAGATTAGCTAAACTGGCTAGTTAATGAGTCCTCGGGATCCTCCTGTCTCCACTAGTGTTACAGATATGCACTGTGGTGCCCAGGTCTTATGTGGGTACCTAGAATTTGAATTCAGATCCTTGTGCTCACAAAGCCAACAGTTTATTGTCTGAGTCAGATCCCTAGTTCCTATATCTGTTGATTAGTTGTGCTCCCTCTCCACCCCCGCTCCAGCACCTGGTAGCCATATTCAGTTCTCTCCTTCCGTGTTTGACTATTTAAATTCTTTCTTCTTTCTTTCTTTCTTTCTTTCTTTCTTTCTTTTCTTTCTTTCTTTCTTTCTTTCTTTCTTTCTTTCTTTCTTTCTTCCTTCCTTCCTTCCTTCCTTCCTCTCTCTCTCTCTCTCTCTCTCTCTCTCTCTCTCTCTCTCTCTCTCTCTCTCTTTCTCTCTTTTTTCCTTTCTTTTTTTTTCTTTGGTTTTTTGAGACAGGGTTTCTCTATGTAGTTTTGGTGCCTGTCCTGGATCTCACTGTGTAGACCAGGCTGGCCTCAAACTCACAGAGATCTGCCTGGCTCTGCCTCCCGCGTGTTGGGATTAAAGGTGTGCGCCACCACTGCCCGCCTACTATTTAAATTCTTAAAAGAACTAGAATCTGGACAAATTGGTCACTCCATGAATGGGCTTGTTTCATGTGCCATTGTGTCCACCAGGTTTATTCATTTGATCTCCAATTCCCTGTGGGGTATGTGTGTGTATGTGTATGTGTGTGTGTTAGAAACCAGCCTGTAGCATTGTGTGTGTGTGTGTGTGTGTGTGTGTGTGTGTGTGTGTGTGTGTGTGTTAGAAACCAGTCCAAAGCTTTGTGTGTGTGCATGTGTGTGTGTGTGTGTGTGTGTGTGTGTGTGTGTGTGTGTGTTAGAAACCAGTCTGAAGCATTGTGTGTGTGTGTTAGAAACCAGCATGCAGCATTGTGTGTGTTAGAAACCAGCCTGCAACATTGTGTGTGTGTGTGTGTGTGTGTGTGTGTGTGTGTGTGTGTGTGTGTGTAACCAGCCTGTAGCATTCTGAGAACTAAGGAGTTGGGAGTTGTTGTGATGACCAGTGTTTCCTTGCAGCCTAATTAGTTTGTCTTCACTCAAAGTCCTTCTGGCTTACTCCTTTCAAAGTATGAACTGAAGAAAACCGAAGTGATTCCCCTCAGTGGATGGGAAATTAAAATGTCAGATTAGAAACGTTGGTAGAAGGCCCTACAGAAGGGTTACATGGTTACACAGGCAAAGCCATATCAGGACACAGTATATAACACAGAAAATATATGAAACCATTGTAACATATAAAGTCACAATTAAAGGCCGGGCGGTGGTGGCGCACGCCTTTAATCCCAGCACTCGGGAGGCAGAGGCAGGCGGATCTCTGTGAGTTCGAGGCCAGCCTGGTCTCCAAAGCGAGTACCAGGAAAGGCGCAAAGCTACACAGAGAAACCCTGTCTCGAAAAACCAAAAAAAAAAAAAAAAAAAAAAAAAATAAAGTCACAATTAAGGCAAGCATTTATCACCTAGGGAAATAGTCGTAATGAATGACTGCGTGGGAAAAGTGTGAGCTACAAAGTATAATGTGTATTTTTATGAATACAAAGTCCCAAACCTCTTCATATAACTTCCATCTCTAAAAATGTTCCAGCTGTGAAATGCAGGTGGCGAGATCATAAACCAGAGTGCAAAGTGCAGAGCCCTTTCAAAGCAAGGCTCTGAAGGCGGCTTTTCCAAAGGCTTTCGGTCCAAATGAGCTGAGTAAGCTTGTTTGGGTTTTATGATTTTACTTCTAATCTTTATCTGTGTGACTTGTGGGTACTCTGGCTAAACTGGGAGATGGGTGGTAAGCCCTTGGGAGGAAGGTATATTTCCAGTGCTGGGGTAACACTCTGGTGGGAACTGAAGAGGCTCAGCAGGGCCGGGAAGAACATGACTGTCAGAGGGCAACTTCCAGAGTGCATTCTTCCGCCTTGCTTTGAGGCAGGGTCTCTTATTTCTGCTCCTCTGCTCTGTTCTCCAGGCTATCTGGCCCACAAGCTTCTGGAACAGTCTCCTGTCTCCACCTCCTACCTCACCCTGAGAGTGCCAGCACCACATCTGCTTTGTACAGGTTCCAGGGATCAAATACAGGACATCAGCTCTCACAGCATGTGCTCTACCCACTGAGCCATCTCTCTGTCCCATGTTCTGTTTTGAGATGTTTATTTAAAATTCAACACCAAAGTATTACATCAAACCATAATTCTTAAAATCACCCATGTACTGGATATTGAGGTGGTTTTTGTTACTTGATATTATAAATGATGCTGGTTTTCAAAAGCCTGTGCATCTATCTGCTTGGGAAATGAGGCAGTGATCATAAGTATGGTGTTTAACTGTAAAAGCAGCCTGGCCCTAGAGTAATAAGGACAGAAAGCAGAAGGCCATGCCTGGAGCTCTGTGCTTGCCAGCATTAGAGGCAGATCAGAGCAGGCAGCAAACCTGGAAATTCAGGGTGTGGGGTGGAGGACTTGTTTATTAGTAAAGCAGTGAGAACGGAAACCTCTGAGCATGTTTGTAAAGTCACACTGGGAACCTAAGTAGGAGCAGGGTGTCATTTCTACTGGGTGACTCTAAGCCGGTGTGTCTTCTCTCTACGTGCACACACTCACAGAAAAGGACATCGCTGGGAAGAAAGTTGGGAGCTTGTGATTTTAGACCTGTAGGATGAGTCGGTGCTTTGCCCTAACTCTCAGCAGTTTCTGGTGTTTCTTGACCACTTGAAGACGCAGTCTCTGGACTTCCACTTCTGGCTCACGGTGCTGTTTTTTTAAGTAAACAGTGATGACGAGTTCCAGAACATGGTGGTGGCTGCAGACACACCCACACCCACACCTTGTCATACACACACACCTCATTCAGGGTGCTTTAACTAAATGGAAAATTCTGTATTTAGTCTGGAAAAGGTTGGATCTTGACTCAAGACACCGACTGTTTCACTGTGGATACTTCTAAACAAGGGCAGGGCAGACCAGAGAGCAAATTGCTGTTCACTTCAATCCATTAGAAGCAGAGCTGGACTTGAGAATGGGAACTGAGTGGGCTTAAGTGAGCCTATGTTCTGGGGGGAGAACACAGCCGCATAAACTGGAAAACTCCAGAGAGACAGAGTTCTTTACTGTCAGATAAATCACAACTGACATTATAGTATAAAACCGGAAAAGCCCAAATTCCTAGCAAACAGACCAACACATGAGTAAATTAAGTACAATGTGCTGTTGTTTTGAGAGTTCTCCCTCTGTAGCTGGGCTGGCCTAGAACTCACCATGTAGCCTAAGCCAGCCTCAAACTCTTGGCAATCCTCCTCCCTTAGCCCCCAAGTACTAAGATTACAGGCTGGAGTAACCACATCCAACTTTATACACATTTTTGTGTAATTATTTATAATGCATAAATGAATTGGAAGTTAAACATTGTTCCATTAAACAGAATAATAAATGCATATACTCTAGTGGTTTTCAACCCTCCTAATGGCCCTTTAATACAGTTCCTCCTGTTGTGGTGACTTTGAACCATAAAATTATTTTTATTGCTACTTCATAACTGTAAATTTGCTACTGTTATGAATCAAAAATAGGTATCTGATATGTGGGATATCTGGTGTGTGACCTCTGTGAAAGGGTCATTTGGCCCCACAGGGGTCATGACCCACAGGTTGAGAATCACTGCTCTACAGCATGATGTCAAACAAGTACCAAAATAAGCATAGAGGAAGAGGGGTAGAACGTCGCAGTGTGCTGCTCATGACTCTAAAGCTCATGTTTTTTCCTTTGTATTTCTGTTGTTGTTGTTGTTGTTTGGGTTAATCCCATGTAGCTCACACAGGCCTCAAACTCACTGTGTAGTCAAGGATGATCTTTAACTCTGATCCTCCTGCCTCCGCCTCTCAAGCGCTGAACACCCAATGTTTACCACAGAACCATGGCTTCAGGCGTGCAAGACCAGGACTCTACCCACCAAGCTACATTCCCAGGTAGGCAATCTTTTTTTCTGGGATTGAAGACATGCATCACCATCGCCCAGCTTACACTTTAAAATTTTTTTAGATTTATTTTTACTTTATGTGTGTAGATGTTATGTCTGCATGTATGTTTATGTATCACATGCTTGTAGTGGCCACAGAGGCTAGAAGAGGGTGTCAGGTTCCTTAGAACTGGAATGACAGTTAAGATTCACTGTGTGAGTGTTGGAGTCTCTGTGAGAACAGCAAATGCTCTCAATGGTGGAGCCGTCTCTCCTGCCCTCCTTCACGTTTCTTTATCTTCCAATTTTTCCATACCATGTGGCTCTGTCTGTGAAATGGGTGAAAGGGTTTTTCTCCTCTCGTTAACCTCTTTTCAAACTCATAAGATTATATATATATATATAATCTATTCACGTAATGTAATAGATAGATAGATAGCCTGGCTCCTCACCACTTAGTAAGCAAATTCTAGAGAAACAACGAACTCTACTGAGCTGTAAGAAAATAACTGTCTTTGAACCAAAGCTCTTTCATTTGTCATTCACTACTGTGCATTCTGCTCTGGGTCACCCATGTCTGGACCACCACCATACCAAACAGGAAATGGATTAGCCCATTGCACTACAAGTAGAGTTTCGATTTTATAATGTTTAATTTGAAATGAAGAGCTGTGCCTTTGTTTGATACATTTAATAGAATAAGCTGAACAGAAGCTTAATACATCCCAACTGTGAAAACTAAAAACAAGTATGTTTTTCTTAGCACATTTCCCCAATAGTATTTTGTGGCTTGGACTGATTTATATATTGGTATTACAGACTAAAAAACTTGTTTCCATACATCTGAGATTGAGAAACAAGCTTGAGTTTCTTTCTGTCTTTGGACGTTAGAACGAAAGTTCCATCTCTGTGGAAGGATGTGTCCATCTTATCCTAGAGTGAGAAAAAGAATATGTCAGCAAAAGTGTTTTATTTGGGGAGATGATCTTTAACCCTGTTTCAACCCAAGTTTGGTTAGATTGAACCCAAGAGTTTAGACTGCACCACCATCCTCACGGTGGCCCACATGCAGAGCAGATCATGAAAGCCACGTGCTGCGTTCTGAGCCACAGTCCGGCCACTGAGCCCCCCTGCTGGAGCATGGTTCTGGGCAGTGTCAGCATTACTCAGGTGCTGTCTTGAAATCGCCTGGGAGGGATCCCGCCTGACTTGAAGCATAATCGAGTTGTCATAAGGAACCCATGTAATTCATGGGCATGTTCAGGCTTAGCAGTGGCTAAATGACTTCCTTTCTGTTTTGGTTTGGTAGCATGGTGCAGACTAAGCAAGTGATGAGAGCAGGTGAACAAACCCTGGGATGTGATGAGGGTGGACAGATGAGACAGATGCTGTGGAGTCCCTAAGGCAGGCTTCAGGACTAGCTGAATAGCCATGACTGTAAACTTGGGAGAGTCACACTATCTTGATCACACACACACACACACACTGGGGGGGAGGAGGTATGCATGAGACTGTGTGTACACACATGTACATGTGACAATGGAGGCCAGGGGTCAGTGTCAGTGTTTCTGGATTGTCCCCACCTTATTCTTTGAGACAGGGTCTCTCCCTGAACCTGGAGCTCATTGATTTGGCTGGGCAGCCTGGCCAGTGAGTTCCAGGGATTACAGGTTAAATCAGGTTTACTAAAATCACTGATTTCTCTGTGGGTTGTAAATGTACTCACCTCTCAGATTCTAATGCTGCCTTGCCACAACCCTGGCATTTGTGCCTGGTTAACCACAGCTATGTGACTTGATGGCTCCACCGTATTGTCCAGTGACCAGCTGGCCAGTGGGTTATGGCACAGTCTTGGAAGCCAGAGGGGCTTAGGCTGGTAATTTCTACTACACTCTCTCTCAGAACAGGGATCATGTCCTTTCTGTCACCAAATTCTCTTGCCTGGAAGATGGAGCATATCATCCTCAGCTTTTGATCATGTGGGCTATGCAACTATGTAAAATGCTTGCTGTCCTGCCTCGCATGTGGTAAATAATGGCAACTGCTTTATTATTGCCACCCCATGCTCTGTGGCTGAGTCTTGTTTTATTCTGTCCTTCAATCTTATGTCTTAGTTCTCAGGAGCTGCATTATCCATATCCCACAAACCCACCCTGGCCTTCTCTTTTGTGGTACTTGTGTTGTGCCCACATGTCACTTAGGGTCAGTAGATATCCCAGTTTCTGGGCTCTGGGCACAGGAGCACCTCATGGTTGATGGCATGGGCCCTGGAGATGGGCTTCCTGGATTCAAAGCAAGGACTTCCTCTCAATAGCTAAGTAGCACCGGTTAAATTCTTCAGCCTTTCTGTGCCTCAATATCCTCATCTGAAAAGTGGATTCTGTCTATTCCTTACGGTTGGTGTAATGCTTAAATAAAATAACATGTTAAGAATCGGAAACAATAGTGTTTATAGCATTTGTTGAGATGATTCATATCGCGGTTAAGAATGCATATTCTGCCAGGCGGTGGTGGCACACGCCTTTGATCCCAGAACTTGGAAGGCAGAGGCAGGCAGATCTCTGTGAGTTCAAGGTCGGCCTGGTCTACAGAGTGAGTTCTAGAACAGGCTCCAAAGTTACACAGAGAAATCATGTCTTTAAAAAACAAACAACAAAAAAAAAAAGAGAGAAAAAGAAAACAAAGAACACATATTCTATTAAGAACATGCACTGCTCTAACTGAGGACTGGAGTGTGGATCCCAACATCTACATCATAAAATGACTTTAACTCAAGCTCCCAAAGATCTAATCCTGTTTCTGACCTCTGACCTCTGTGGGCACTTAGTAAACACAGACACACACAGACACACACAGACAGACACACACACACACACACACACACACACACACACACACACACACACTTATAACTAAAATATCTTTAAAAAGAAAGAAAGAAAGAAAGAAAGAAAGAAAGGACACCCATGCTTGGCTTCTGTGTGCTGTTATTTTTCCACCCAGGGTCACCTCCCAGTTGTAGACTGATGTGCAGGACTCAAGACTCATGTACCAGCCATGTGTCCCTACACTATCTGCACATTGCTCCCATGTCAAGACCCCTGTCTCCTTTCCATATTCTGCTACAGATGTTGTGACAAATAGACACTGTGACAATAAGGAGTGAGGAATGCTTCTGTCTAAGCTTATGTCTTCTGAAGAGTGCACTATGCAGGTGACCCACGTACCTTGAGTGAGGTGAAACTTTCGCCTGGCCGAAAGACTTTCCCAGTCCCTCCTTAATTCCCTCACCTCCCTTTCATCACGTTCAGAAGAAAGGGATGCCCATGATGCCTCCCTTAGAGCCTGGCTGTGTACAAGAAACTCTTGTGCATAAGAAGTAAAGAAAAGAGTCAGATGTGTAAGTCTAGATATGAACTTCTCTGCTGTCTGTAGAGGTGTGCTTCTTAGCCGAACTGCGTGAGTCCCAGGTTGACAAAGCAGATAAGTAAAATGTGACCTGACAGAAGCAAGGCAGGGAGGCTGGCTTTGGGCTGAGGGTCTTCGTGGTGTGCCACTTGTTTGCAAGCTGAGCAGTCCCCCCAGGGCGCCTGTGGGAGTCAAGGGAACAGGGGTCTTACTTCTCAGCCCTCCATGCCTTGAATAGTACTTGGCTTGTGGGAGTGAACTGTTTCTGCTCTGCTGTCCTGGTATCATGCCTCCCACAGGGAGATTCCTTTTAATGCTCCAAATTCCATCCAGGGCCACTGTGAACATTTTAAAAACAAGACAATGACGGTGAGTAGTGCATTCTCTTCCCAGCACAAAGTGTTTCAAAAGTACTTTCCTTTCAACTAATTAAGTCAAAGAGGTATATTTGACTTAATTAATCAAGCCACCCTAGGCTTTTCTCATCTATTTATTCTTTAACATGTTTCATGCATCCAACTATTACTGCATGGAATTAAACCACTATATGCTGTTACATTTGAGTCTCCACAAAGACATGGCAAGTCAATACACTAACATATTGCAAAACAAAAGAATCAAGAATAAATAAAATAAATTCTGTATATTATTCAGTTTTCCATAGCTGATTCTAATTTAATTCCCTCAATAAGTGGAAA